AATTTAAACAGTTGGCTGGGATCAACGTCGAGCATTATGCATATCAGTTACTGTAAATGCAAATTGGCGGGAAACGCCCTTTAGGGTAAGGGGTACGTGCCACGTTGCCCCTTTCCCTTTCGCAACCTTAACCAAATGCCAAACGGTGGTGCTAATTTGACACTGACTATGTCTTCAGCGGTGGTGCAGCCGAGACAGCTTTTAATTTAGCCCCAAAATCATCCGCTAAGGATCAAGGGATGAACTCTTAAGCTTGACTCACACCGGGAAGCTATTGAGTCATCACACTTCGCCTACGCAATAAAGAGTGAAACGGTAATTCATGCCTTAGAGAGACAATGTCACACACCAGATTTTTCAGACGAAAAGTGTGTTGATTTTTTAACAAACAAGAGAAACCACGCGTCTGGAGAGCTTTTGGTGGAATCACTTTACTTACGCGAGGGGTAGGTGTACATATCTGTACATGAATACAGGGTGTTCTGAAAGTTGGGACTTGGGTCAACTACGTTAGAAATAACAAAGCTAATGTGTGGTAAAACAATAGCGAGAATGTAAAAAAAATAAATGAAAAAGTACTCACCGTTTATCGAAAATAGCTCTGTCATTTGTAAGTCTTGACTTTTGCTGCATTCTTAATTGTTTAAACTGATATGGTAGCTGTTCCGTGGACTCCACTTTTTATGGAAAAAAATGTAGAACGCCTTATACATATATAAAAAAATAGTTACGTAAATACCGTAAATGCACTAACTTAATCGAGAAGACATTTTCTAAAAAGTCATCCAAATTAAGAAATCGATTCGGCAGACATATGCTCTAATCTTGGCTATTTCCTTGATGGTGCGTAATCTTGGGGACACTTCAGGGAGGTTTTTGAAGAACGAATGAGCTCAGGTTTTGCTTGTCACAAATTTAATTCTTTGACTTACACAAGTTGTGCGTCTTACATTCAGACCGAGTAATTACCCGACCGAGTAATTTAATACTAGGCGGAACCCTAGTATTCGGTGTTTGTCGAGTACCGGGTACAAACCAAGTACTCGGTGCATCTCGAATAGTAACTGTAACAAATTAACCGAAGACCAGCCCAGTTGCGCCACAACGATTTGTTCAAATATGGCGAGAAGCGTCACCTTTTAGAACATTGGTTCCATTCGAACGGGTAGTGATGTGTTTTCTGTCTAGATAAGATGGTGAACTTGCTTTGTAGCCTGTGAATTGCATTGTCCAATATGGGTTGGCCAAATAGTAAGCATACCTTTATCCGAAAAAATATGATGACCAAAATTATATATGCTTGGTTCATGTTCTGTCGTAGTTAATTACGCGTTACATTTATGTAATTAATGATAACAAAATGTGTTCAGAAAAGTTACCCCTAATCTGCTGTATCATGCTAAATCGTTTTCCATTAAGCTAGCAACCTAGCTTATCGCTTTTTTATGTTAATGATATGAAGGAAAAGCGTAGACACGTTAGCAGATTGTTTTAATTTTCATACAAAAAAAAACAGTACAGTCATGCCACGTCATCTTGGCTGTTTTTGAATGACTCTCATCTATCCACAGACTGTTACCGGATGTTCTTAAAGTTGGGACTTTCCTAAACATGGCATAGTTCCTGCAAAGCAATTAAATTTTCCTAGTAACGTATACACCAAAGTCCAAACTTAATCCAAACACTACCTTCTGATTAGGTGAAAAGTGAAAGGTTACAACGCTTGTTAGTATTCAGTTCTTTGCGTCGTAGAGGTGAACCAGCAGCTGCTGGTCACAAAGTGAGCTCGAAAAAACAAAAATTGCAGAGTGGATCGCGGCGAGCGTTTTCAAGATGCTGTTGATGCTCCTCTAATGTGTTCGGATCATTTTCTAGGGCATTTCAATCTTGAGCCGCGTAGGTTTGTTTATCGCGGGAAGGATACAGGCCGTATATAGGGAACATCGAAAGGCGACAAACTCGGACAGAACTTATAAGCATCATGAACAGGGAGAAAATTCCCATCAAATGAACAGTGAGGGATTTCTTTGATTTATCTATGCTACTTTTTGGGTGGCGGTCTTCCGCACAATAACTTTGTCATTTCAAGCGTAGTTGTGTCTAAAATGAGTCGTCCCAGCTTTCAGGATACCCTGTATATACGGTTATGACCCAGAAACGAAGCAACAGTCAAGTCAATGGAAGACGCCATCGTCATCCCGTCAAAAAAAATGTCGTCAAGTCAAATCAAACATCAAAACAATGCTGATTTGTTTTTTTGATGTTAAAGGCGTAGTCCATTTCGAGTTTGTTCCTTCACTGCCAATCAGACCTGTTATTTGGAGGTTTTAAAACGATTGCAAAACAGTGTTCGTCAAAAAGGACCCGATTTGTGGTCAAGAGACTGGTTCTTCCACCACGCACCTTAATCGCCTGACCTGGCTCCGTGCGACTTTTTCTTATTTCCACGGATGAAAAGGGGCATGCAAATTTTTGACAGTTTAGCGATAGAGCCTCAAATTGTTGCTTTCACGTAAAGCTCATTTAGATTGTCAGGGCCGGACTAGCCATAACTCAATATTGCTGATATTTTTCCACCCTACAGGGATACATAGTAGTGTCTCCTAAATAGTATTTTATTATTAGAGGAAGGTTATCTTTTTGCTAAAAAAACGTATTTCTTGATTTATAAAAAAGCCATTATGATAAGGGCACTCTTGTTTCAGTGAAAAATTGATATAACTACAATAAAATGCATATCTATCCGTCCATCATTGCGTGTATTTACATGCAAACTGTCATAAAATAAACTAACCCAACTCGTATGAAAATCATAAAAGAACTACCAAAGACAGACATATAAAGAACAAAAACACAGTGCTGTTAAAACTCACATCAACCAGGGGTAAAAAGTTGTAGAGCCATACAGATAGACAAATAAAAGTAGTAAAAAGGAAAACCGCAGTCAACACAAACGATTGAAGCATTGCATGCTTAATGAGGTATTCACGTGTAGTTGACGGCGGCGAACACAAAAAATCTCCACGCACGAGATTTTAAAAACGATAACTTCAACACGAATTCGAGAGGTGTTGTTTTTTCATAAAGCACACGCCTATTGTATAATTATTCCATGTGTTTCGCCCATTACAATACAACCCGCACGGCTGACCAGTGTGAAAATGTAATGTACTGTGTAGATCACTATCAATTTAACATCATTTATTAAATTGTTCCTAGGCACACATAAACCGTATATGTGTATACATACATAATAATTGCTAAGTTCATTTCTCATATGCTCGTAGTGATACAACGGTTGTTTGTTTTAAACATATCTAAAAGCACGATTTCCTTTGTGCTGTAGATTTGCAAGGTGGCCTCAAGCTTTTTGGTATCTTCTTGGCCCTGGACGATGGCCGCTTGAGGCACTAGTATCGAGTTTATGTACGGACGGAATTTCCAATAGATGGCACTGCACATGCCTTGCTAATTACGCATCTCATTTAATTTCAGTGACGTCCTAGATCTACGCGTTGGACGAATTGTGACATACAGTGACGTAAAAGGTGAAATGACCATACCATTTACCATGCCAGCCCAAATATTCAAATAAAATGTTTGTTGGAAATGTTACTGACGGACTACTTGAGAATTTTCCATTAACCACTCACAAAAACGCATTCTTGCTTGTACAAAAGGGTACAATCCATCATCATGCAGCATATGCCCCACTTTAGTCTTGGAGACTTGCACTAGTCTAGCCACTTCTCTAGAACTTGTTGTACGATCTTTCTCTACAAGATTCAGTAATCCTTCCTTAGTTTGCATTATTCGGGGTTGTTTAGGTCTCCCACTGTGTCCACCTCTATATTCCTACAAACGACCTGTATCACTAGGTCTTTCACAAGGTAAACAAATCTACGCGGCCCTGAATGATACTCTCTGTGATCCGCATACACTCGCGAAGCCTCGGTAGCATTTTGTTCACCATAGATTAAATTCATGTCGACAAGTTCGATATTACTGTCGGAAGTGCCATTTCGGTTTTTTTGAGTCATTGTATACCTACGCGGCCTTCTCAATTTTGACATGATTGAGATACAGTAGTAGATTAGGTTTACTTTAAGGTTTGATTGATTTTTCGGAGCCTTATTAGGAGATATTTCGCGGTTATATTAAGACTTTTGCATACATGCCACTAGGAAAAACCACTTATTTTTTCAAGATCTATACGCCGCTTAAGGGAAAGTTCTAATTTTCCGGATACGTTGTATAGTCCGGTACAGGTTCTTTTGCCAGAAGTCGATATAGGCACTCTGTTACGTCAACAACGCTTTTTAGAGCCTTTTGGCTAATAAACTTGCAAGGTTTATTTCACCAGACCGTTTTTCAGTAATACGCCTAGCGACGTCGATTGCTCCCATTCAAGTCGGGACGAATAAACTTTCAAGGTAATCTGTTGGAGAGTAGCTCTAGGTTTTTCATCATAGTCCTATTGCTGTATAAAAATTCGTTCATAAGAGAAGCTACGGTGTGGCAGCAACAAATGCAAGCTGCCAGTCAGAGAGCTTCCCTTATTCCAAAATTTTTGTGTTTCGAATTCGTAGCGTCGCCGCTACTATCAATTCTTGTGAAACCCGGTTTTTTTATCATAGATTAACTGGAAATTCAATAATAACTATAATTTTCTATTTAATCTAAAAAAGTGGGCCTCTGGTTAAAGCCGACAACAGTGTTGAGACCAACCTGACAATAAAAGACTCTCACTGTGTGAGAGATGTTTGTTGTTGAGTTTCAGTTAGCATTAGTCTCAGCTAAACTGCAGTTAAAAAATCGGTGATCGTTGACCGGAAGTTCATAAAAGTGTTTCTCATGATTATATTTGTCAACATCTGGTAGCTAACTTTGTTCAAAGGATCAGTTTAGTTATAGAAACCTAGATGTCCGTACAAGAAGATATTTTTGTCAAATATGTGTTCTTTTGCCTTTAATTTAATAGAACCCGTTTCTCCAAATTG